CTTAAAGACATATGTGACACCACATAGTCCAGCATGTAGGAGATATCTCAAACTACTTGTTAACTTCAATGCAAATTAAGCACAGACATTCCTATACAAAGCAAAAGCATATTACTCCTCAAACTGTGAGAAATACATATTTCACTTAAGCAACTGTGGTGGCAGCCTTCTTCTATTACTTAGTCAGATAAAATTTATGAAATCTTACAGCTGCTTTCCTGCAGAGCAGAGGGGTCTAACACTGACAAAACAGCATTGTGGGTAAGCAGAAAAACTGATTACCAACCCATAAAGGAAACTTAAGAGTTGATTCTACAAGAGTACAAGTGTTGTCTCCTCCTATGCTCATGAAGAACATTATTTTTCTTTCACTGCAGGGAAGTGTCACTTTGAAGTGGACACTTCATCCCTGAAATACAGAATTCAGGACATTTCCTCAATGTTTCTTTCTTCTTTTTTGATTCTCCTTTTTCATCACCAACCCCCATCCCCCCATTGTTCTGTATTTTGGGTCATTTAGTCCATACACTTTGATGGAGGGCATCCTTCTCTGAACTTATGAATCGAAATGTATTCTCCAATGGATATCTGGAGGTATAATTTGCCCCCTAACACTCTTCAATCTTTATTGTTGACACATTCAAGGATGTCTAACTCCCACAAGAAGAAAAAAAAAACAACCCACATTAATCTTTAAAAACATATCCTTACCTTTCCTTCTGAAAATGAAAATGAATGCTCTTTGAAATTATCTGAGTTTTGCTTTAAACCCTGAGGATCATGCACTTTAGGAAACAAATCTGAATTCGAAAAATTTGTAAATAAAAATATGCTAGTATATAAATATAAACCCTGCACAGTGCTAAATATTTCCTTGGAGGCATGAAGCACTCAGCTTCCCTGAGCAGATGTTAATAGAAATCAAAAGCACTCAACAGCTTCCTGGATGCAGTCTGTGGAATTCCCACATACACTTTTTCTGCATACTGGAGAGAATTGGGTTTTTTTGCTTCATGCTTTTGTAGGTGATACTATATTATGGAAACAGCTCCAAAACAGACCCTGGCACCCATCCATGATAAACCAAACACCCATTCAATTACTAAAAACATTTAAAAAATAAAATAGTTAATTTGGGTATCTGAAAGCAGACAGGCGACTTAAAAGACTTAAGATGACCTTTCTATTTCTAGATAGTGCAAGAAAACAGCCCTAAAGAGAGAGCGGTGCCTTTCCCATTATGTATTCCTTCTGCCACTTTATGCAAAAAAGAGCTTTGGAACAGCCTTTGAAGGAGAGGTCACCTAACGCACAAGGAGCATTCTCATCTCCATACCCTCAATTTAGCAAAAGACCCAATAAATGTCAGTCATGGAAAAAGACATTTTGAAGGCTTGTAGGAATTTAACAAACTTGTCTTAATTTTGAGCTAATCCTGTGTGACTAAAAGAAAAACTGGTGTGCAGTTGATGTTCACTAGAAAAAAGTTATTTTTTTCTTTTTTTTTAAATTCTATTTTATTTTAAAAGTGTCTACTAAGAATTTACTTTTCATTCTGAAGTATTGCCAGGAAAAACAAAAGCATAAAAACTAAAAACAAAGCAAGTTTGACTTGATTTCATCTCCTTGAAATAATTAACCTAGATGTTTACATAAACATGCTAAAATTTCACACATTTATTCAGTTGGGCTCCTTGAGCTCCCTAGACAACCAAATGTTATTTTTCCTTAGGGTAAATACCTTTATTTTGATTCTTTGCACTGAAACAAGAATCTCTGAGGCTATGCCATAGCAAACTCTCTGAAAATGCTGAAGCATGAAAACATAAGGACTATACACTATATGTGCAAAACCTGCCAGATGCTTTGTATCTCCACATATCAGTACCTCCCACTAGGCAATACCGCTGGTCTCCTGCTCCCTCTGATGCACAAACAGGAAATAAATGATGCTTAAATTCATTTCACAAAAGCATAAAGATCCAAGAAGTAGCAAAACTTATTAAAAGGGGTGGAAAGTATGAGTAATCAATGTTTTAACATACTTAAAAAAAAACCAAAAAAACAGAGTTCATATCAATCTATGGTGCACAGAATATACATATGATAAATGAGAAATAATTTTTCTCTCTTTTCCATGTTCATCCTAGAGAAGTTTTTAATTTAGCTTCTTAAGTGGTGATAAGGGATAATGCAGTTTTAAACAGTACATCTACAAGGAACAGCTAATAATTTTTGACTGTTACTCACTTATTAGACTCAAATAGAAAATACATAGAGCTAACAAAACCATAAAAATCACAGGCAATTCACCCAATTTGAAGTTTAAGTAAAATCTAGGAGAAGCTGCTTCTCATGAATAACCAAATTCACCAGCACACATTTTTTCAGTCTGTTCAGCTGTGTAATTCCCCAGCAGATATGCACTTTTCCTTCCTCCTCCTCCTCAGATAAATAACCTGAGTGCGCCTTCACGATCTATACCCAGTTATTAGCAAATAGAGCTATCAAATCCCAGTCATCAAAAAGAATCAGCTGAGTTGTTTAACATCTATTCTCTTTTCCAAGCAATGGAAAACATTGTAAAAATTTCACTGTCCCTATGTGTGTCTACTACAATACATTGTCTACTGAGATGCTGCCAGAGAAGGGTAAGAACTGAGGAGGTAAAAGCATTCCTGCCTTCTGTCCACCAATACTATTACACTCAGTCTTTTTCCAGCCACCATTTTATGCCTCTGTTTATATTTTCTGGTCTCTGATATTATGTACCTACTAGCAATGCTCTTAGGGGAAAGGTCATTTCTTTGTCCCATGTTTCTACAATGCACTTCTTAGAAGATTGTGATAAATAGCCAAAGCACTTTAGATCTACAAAGGTTCACCACAGAACATATGATAACAATAATATCAGCTGATACTCCCACAAAAGAATGGCAAATAGTAATTTCTCCTGCCTTTCCAGCATCACCTTCAAGCCTGGTGACATGCAGATTCTTTATTCCCTAAGCAGTAGCTAGACAGAGGTTTCCTCCTCCAAGTGTTACTCCTGTCTGTATCCACTGGAGGCAGACAATTCTGTTACAAACATTCAATGTCATGAGCTACATGGAAATACATAAGGGTTATTTATATAGTATCAAGATGATGTTGGTACCCAGAATTGTTCAGGTTAAGACCACGAGACAGCTTGTTCCTAAAAGCTGTTATTAAGCTTTAAAGTCGAAGATAAATATCTTTGACCATGGATGCCTAACTCCACAGATCTAAAAAAAGGAGGCATTGACTACCAACTTCTACACAAAATGTATGTAAGCAGAAAGGGGGAGAAGAGGCTGAACCCACAAAGGTGACTGAGAGCACAAGACAAAGCATCTTGTAAAGAAATGGAAAACATCCTCCCAAGCCTCTTACCCGACAAGACATTATTAGACTGGACTTAAACTAGAGCTAATGCTCATTTTTAGTGTTATTTTTTTTACACAGCCCTACGTTTTGGCTCATAAAACATAAAACATTTGTAAGAACAACAAAAATTACTTTGCAGATTCAACAAGACTGCAGCTTGCCATGAAGATATCGAATCAGCTATTATTAAAAATCATGAGGAATTCACATCTTGCTTTCAGGATATACTAGCCTGCCGCACTACCTGTTCGATTGAGGCCAGGCTTCTTGTATGGAGACAGCATCATTATTTCATGAATCACCAGTGACCTTTGAAAGACACTAGGAAAAGCAGGCATGTTCATTCCCTTCCATTGATTTTCTAATTTTGAGTAAATTGGTTTAACCTGGGGAATGGTTATCTGTTAGGAATAAAAAATACCCAAAACTGACTTCAAAAAACAGTATAAAGCTTTTGAACTGAAACAATGAATTTAGAAGGGAGACTTCAGGCAAAAAGGTAATAATTATATAAATCTTAAATTGGGTCTGACTCTGTGGACAGCCACACAAGTATGAAAGAATTCGAATCTCTTAAACTTAAGAGACAGATCTACAGGCCTAGACCTTTGTTTTACTACACTATGTACCTGGAATGAGTGTCTGGTTTACCCATTAAATGTCTACTGTTGCAAAAGCCTGCAGAAAAAAAGTCATCTAAAATGGAAAGTGATATGGGCATCATTTTCATCTGGTTAAAACGAGATATAATGTGCTGAATACTGAGAACATCAGACAGCTGTGAATCTAGCCAACTTAGAAGACAAGTTCAGTAAATTAGCATCCACCCCAAACAGCTTGTGAGAGAAGAACCTGGTCTTGTCCAGGAAACTTAGAACTTATAGGTCTATGTAATGGAAGGGAATGGTGATTCAAAAGATAACTCTGTGGGGTCATCATTGTATTAGTGCCTAGACTTCATATATTCTGATAAGTAGACCTTTGTCTAAACAGATTGCATTACTTTGTTGTCCTCTGAACATGGAATGATCATACCTAAGTCTTCTTTGCTATCAATTTATACTATATAATAAACATAAATTATGGCACTATGATTATTCAACTTAAAACACATGCAGACTACCTGTTCCTTTACTATTTTGTATACTTTTTTGTGTTTTCCTTTTTTTATTTTTATTTTTTTAATTGCCTATGGGGTACCGAGTTAGTTAGTCCATTATATCCACTCAATAAAGGATTTAAGCCACCAAAATCTAACAACCTCTGAGCAAGCTATATGCACAATTAGGTCTGGGTATTTTTTCCTCCTTCCAAGCACTCAGTAACTCTAAGTTCAATTCCATTTATTTGTGAGATCTTTGCTCTTGTCACCCAACACTGTGTCTCACCAGGAATTATGAGCTCCTAGACTCATAAATCTTGATCTAAGCATACAACTTCTTACAAAACTTCTTACAAAACTCTTAAGACTCCTCAAAGTTGAGGATTTGAACCCCTGTGCCCACAACGCTCTATACTTCCTTTCACATCATGGAAGATTACAGGCACAAACATTAAAATATAACACTGGCTATAAGAAAATGTTCACCTACCTCACGATCCAACAATGCAGATGATACCACTGTAACAATATCTCCCTTTTCTGGGTCAATAAAGAACATATTTGGCGATGGTTTGTCAGGTGTCTGTTTGAGGATGTCATACCGGATAAGAGCATTGTCTGTGTTAGCATCATCACCATCAACTGCTGTTATACGCATCACAGTCGTTCCTAAGCGAAAGATGGACAGATAACAGATTGGAGTTAGCCAGAAATTGTAAAATTATGCTGCCTTCACATGTGAGAACCAGATGGATGCAATACATAATTATCTCATCAAGACAACAAAGTAGTTTCACCTGATAGTTGGTACTTGTATCTGCGTTACTTTGCCTTCTACTGAGCCAACAACAAAAGACCAGTGTTTCTTGTTTGCAGCTGACATATGACTCTAACCTTAAGTTCCCCATATTTGTTTGCCTTATAGTCATGCTTATTAATCACATTTCACTAAATTAATTATAGATTCTTTTTTTTCTCTTTAACTTCTACAGGTTGAAAGTCTTCAAGATACATATGATCAAGATGACTGCTGAAAGGAGAGAAATGTCTCTATTTTCACTTTGAAGTCTTGCACAGCTGCAGAATTGGTTGTCAGTAAGAAATTTTCTAATGATTAAAGCCTACATTATTCTGATTTCAATTTGTGCAAATTTATGGGCTTATTATGTCAGCCTCAATACAAAAAAGCCCCAAACACCTCTATTGCTAGGCTAACCTTCAAGCGATGAAACATTTTTATAACATGAAAATCCTGTAGCACACAGTTCTGCTATAGAGTGCAGTAAGGTATTTGATAATGACTGCAGACTCCTAAATTATTTATAGGAGAAAACCCCACTCTTCTATATGACAGTTAATGCAGATGCTGACAATTCTCTACTTAGTGGAACATATACTTCTGCAAGTAGTAGAACAAGGGATCAAGTATTTTCCTCTCCCTTAGTCAGGCACACCAGAGGTTCACATAACCTACACAAATCTGTCACATCACACTTTTATTTGCTTTGTACAATACATTGAGAACCAAAGAAAAAAGTAATTAGACACCTGGGTTGACCTGTGAGATATTCACCCCTAGACCATTACAATTTCTTAATCAGTTCATTTGTATGTTTAAATGCAAGCATTATAAAAAAAAGCAAATAAACAAAATAAATAGCAAACAAAAAAAACCCAAACAAACCCCCCACAACAACAACCAAAAAAAAAAAAAAAAAAAGAAAAAAGAAACCGAAACCCCTAAAAGTAATATGTCATCATAAGAAAATGAAAATATTTCTGGTAATACTGAGCTAAAGAAAGAGTAAAATCCTGCCTACTAAGAAAAAAGCCATGATCAAATCAACAAGCTAGTTTCAATGGTGAATCAAAGTAAAGTAACAAATTAATACAAAAGGTATTTGCAAACTTTATGCAAATAAGGAATCTAGGAAAGTGTCCATTCTTTAGCCTAAAAATCCCAACTGAAACAATTCATCAAATCCCAATAACTTGTATTGCAAATACACAATTTGCATTTAAATAACTTTGCACTGAAACCATGTTATCTAATGTGTGAACCGCAATGTAAAAATTAGTTGTAATTCTTTGTTAGATATTAATTCTTCTGTGGTGGTTAACCCACTCTTTTCCCCCATAGACCTTCAGTGGGCAAGTATTACTGTAAAATGCCAGGATGAAAAACATTTCAAATAGAATATTTACATTCCTTAATAAGTCTGTAAGATCATATCTTCTCAGTACCCACAGAGTCTTTTGTGGCAAAATGACTGCAAGTGATTAAAACCTTTGCTACAGACAAGGCCTGGGACATTACACTAGAAGTGGCTGCAGAACAGAAATATATGTCATTCATGTCCAGTGATAACCAGTGAATTTATATATTCTTTTTGAAGGTCTTGAAGCACACATCACTAAAAAAAAAACCACAAATAAAAATGAAATATTGTAGTAAAAGTAAAAACAAACCTAGCTTCATTTACAGGCTGTTATAACAAGTGTCTGGTTCACTGTTCGACAAGCACAGCTAGCTTGTTTAGATATGTTTCTTCTTTTTCGCTTTTGTTGTATTTCCCAAAGTCTTGCCTCTTGTTGTAGTGACCTTGAATATAATCTCTCAAAGGTTTTGTTTCATTGCTACTTCAGGCAGTGCTACACCCTTGAGAAAAATAACAGAGATCTGACAGCATGTTGGTTTTATTCACCAATGATTAAAGGTCAGACAACTCAAAAAGAAGCTTACCACTCCATACCATGCCATGTTTTCCAATACTACAAGATGATCCTAGCCCTGGTATTTTCAACTACTTTTTTTGAGACTTCAGAAGAAGAAAAAAAACGGCTTTCTATTTTTAAGAATGAAAATTCACTCTTTTTTTCACAAGTATTTTTTACATATTTAATACATTTTGAGAACATTATTTGTGTTCATATTAGGTAATGTGTTTCACAAAGATCTAATCAAGTGATTCAGTGAAATAAACAAGAATGAAGGCAAATCTTCAACGGATCTTAAATACTGCCCAGGTATAAGTGAGAAAGAATGGGTTTTGGTTTGCAACTCTTTCTTGACAAATGCAACTGAATAAGTTGCTATACTTCAGTACATTGGACTCTATTTTAAACGAATATATGGTTACTACCATTATTAACCCACTAGAGGAGTTGATGTTCAGCAGAGATTTAAAAACAGATTAAAACATATACTGAAGTAGAAATACTATGTATACAGATGTCCTTGACAGTTCTACTGAAATACTTCTGATAAGACTGGAAAGTACATGTAGATTTTAAGATGTAAACCCCCAAATCTCTATTCTGTCATAAAAGTGGCTTAATACAATGGCTGAATCTGATTCTGATTTTCCAGCTGCAGTTCTTTAACCTTTCAACTGACTGGACATTATCTTCTTCTGCAAAATCATTCCCTTGGTGAATACTGATAAGAAATTCCAACAACTCAGAAGAGCAGAATTTTACATTCATTTTGCACAGAGATGCCAGCTTCAGTAGGAAAGCTGTAGAGAATTAGATCCATTTTTCTCTAACGTTGCTTCTGTCAAAAGTTTTGAGATACTAGTTTCTAACTACCATCAAAGTGACATTTACATTTAAGTAAAAGTTGTTATATTCTCACAAGTTGAAATAACACATGTAAAAATGCAGGTAAAACTTGGGGTTGTCTTTAGATGTCATTATGCAGTAGTACAATCTAAGGTTGTACCTGTTCACAAACACCAATACAGAAAACTACACCACATTAAACATCATCTACATGTCCACATCAGTACAGCAAACAGAGGAACTGCTGAATAATGTGGTTGAAAGGAAGTCCTTGCACTGATTTGAAAGTTGGTGCTAGGCTTCTGCAGCCATGGTGAGAATGCCTTGTTCTCAGAAACATACCTTTTATGCTCTTTTGCTCACAAGCAGGTTGGCAAACTAAACACTAACTAGAGTTCAAGGCTGCCCATTCATTTCAAAGCACAGTGGTACCTACTTTATATTCTATAACATTAAGACAAAGCAAACAAAAATCCTCACATATACAAAAAGCTATAATGGGCTCGTATTTGTGTTTGATGCCTCAAAAATCACAACACCTTTAAATCTGAAGCGGAAATATATTCCAGGGACTTTTTGCGGAAGTCCAATGGCTATGAATTTCTGGGGAAGAACTTTCTATCCCAGTTGAAGGTAGGAAGTACATGAGAAGTTCTTCTTTGGAAATATAGCTATTGGACTTCCCTCTTCACATGTAAGAGAATACACATGACTTGGGATTGGGTCACCACAAAAGAGAATGCTTACAAGCATCCCTTTCCTAAAAATATAGTGAGACAGTTTTTTTATTATTTTAAGAATCTGTACAGCATACATCCGGTCCAAAAGAGTTTAATTCAAGATGCACACTTCCTCAGCATTTCTCCTTCATCATAAAGTTTTATTCTTCATAAAAGATTCATTTCCCCAGACCTATAAACTGACTACTTCTAATTCAGTGTCATTTTATAAATACTTCCATTCCTGGCATCAATCACATGCAGCTGGCTTTCCAACCACAAAACAACAGCTTGCTACATTATCATGTTAAACAATATATATTAACTTATCAAGCTGAGGAAGAAATGTCTGCAAAATCAGCAACTTTATAGTTCTGCTGATGATGTGCAGATAGTCATTGAGGCAGCCTCTCTCAGTGAAGGTATACTTATGCTTTTGTGTGTTTCAGCGTTCATGGTTTATATGTCATACATTCTGAGCAGTTTCACTACTACCATAATCACTCAAAACCTCTCTTGTACGTCCCACAGTTCCCCACTGATCAGCTGTATAACCCACCAGCCAGGTCATTGCTCCAGAGGCTGCAGGTATCAATCTGTTGATCGCTCATTTGGCTTGTATGTTGGCTTGAAATAAAGGCAAAAAGCTCCCCTTAGGCATTTAGATGTAAAACACAGTGCTTACACAGTTTTGTGGTGACTGGAGCAGATGGTTTCTTGGGAAAAAACTCTGGTTTTGGTGTCTTTTTTTTTTTTTTTTTTTTGTCAAGATGCCAAGAGAACATCAAGAACAATCCAGCTGATGGATGAGATTGCTACTAACCCCCATCCTTTTTATTTATTTAGTCTATTAATCTGCTGGGTTTACAAAAAGGACTGGAATTTAGTGGAACCGAGACCTATTTCTAGCTTGCTCAAATGTGAACATGTGTCTTAAGCCTACAGCCTTAAAAGACTCTGTATTTGAATGCTAACAATAAAATAAATAAGGACTGAACCATATTAACTTTGAGAGCTACAATGCTAAAAAACTTTACTCTGGAGTTTTCTCATATTATTTTCACACTTTTTTCTGAGTCTGTGCTGCGTGTTTGGTGTGTTAAACTTTTCCTAGATGTGCAACAGAAAGGAAGGGGTCTAGCTTCCTAATAAATATGACTGGATTGCTGAGTTGTATTTCGACCTTCTTTGCAAACTCAGATGTCGTTCTCCATACACTGACAATAATCAGTCGCACAATGGTATACTTTCAAATAGAAGAGCTGTTTTAATCCAAGAAGGAGATCAAAGAATGAAAAATGGGATGAAAAGGGAAAAAATCAAGAGAGTGACTTACATCTCTAAAGCATGTTGCATTTATTACTACAGACAAAATTAAACCAAATT